GCCCCAGTGCTCACCCCAGTGTTGAGCTTGATGCTGGAGCAGTCCTCCGTAATGAGCGCCCCGCTGTCATCCGTCATATCTGTCATGCCACTCAGGCTGCTGGAGTCGTCCATGGCCCAGTCGTTGGAGCGTCTCTCGTGCTGGTATTGGAGAGCAGGCAGCTGGATGGCCTGGATATCCATGCTGGAGTCCACCAGCTTCCCAACCCTGTGCCAGAAGGGAAAGCAGGTGATGAAATGTGGACCCAGGTAGGATCACAGAATCACAGAACGGTTTGGGTCCATAAAAACACTCAGTTCAAAACCCCCCTTCCACGGGCAGGGAAACCCTCCACTACACCAGGTTGCTCAAAGCCTCATCCCCCCTGGCCTTGAACACTTCCAGGGATGGGGCAGCCACAGCTTCTCTGGGAAACCTGGTCCAATTCCTCACCACCCTCAGAGGGAAGAATTTCTTCCTTAAGTCTCATCAAAATCTCCCCTCTTTCAGTTTAAAGCCATTGCCCCTTGTCCTGTCACTACACACCCTTGTCCAAAGTCCCTCTCCAGCTTTCTTGTAGCCCCTTTAGGTACTGGAAGGTCTCCCTGGAGCCTTCTCTTCTCCAGGCTGAACAGCCCCGACCCTCTCAGCCTGTCTCCAGAGCAGAGGTGCTCCAGCCCAAAGCATCATCTTCGTGGCCTCCTCTGGACCCGCTCCCGCAGCTCCATGTCCTTCTGATGTTGGGGACCCCAGAGCTGAACGCAGCACTGCAGGGGGGTCTCACGAGAGCAGAGCAGAGGGGCAGAATCCCCTCTCTCGACCTGCTGCCCATGCTGCTCTGGGTGAAGCCCAGGACACGGTTGGCTTTCTGGGCTGCCAGCACATGGTGCCGGCTCATGGTGAGCTTCTCCTCAAGCAAGCTGTTCTGAGCTGGGGAAGCCAAACCAAGAGGCAAAACCCAACACGTTTTGGGCAAAACCCAACAGCCCGGGAGAGCTGCGTAGGACACTGCTGCCACCAAAGCACACAGGGACTGTGCCACCAGATGACACCCTGCCAGCACCAGCCTCCCTCCTGCCTACCTCAGGAAGACCTCCTCCATGGTGGTGACCGAGGCGCCGTAGCTGGCGATGCCCAGCTCCTCCCGCTTCTGCTCCAGCTCCGTGAACAGGGCCTCAAACCTGAACGGAGACACGAGGTGTTAGATGCTGCTGCTCCTGGCACCAAAGCCACCCTGACCCAGAGCAACCCTCTGTTTGGGGGCACTGGGAAGATGGTGCCTCCTGCATTTAATGGATGGCAGGCAACACTGTGCAACGCACCACCCTGGGTCCCCAGACCTTGGATTTCGGCACAGCCAAAGGTGAGGAGAGGATGAGAGGAGGTAGCCAGAGGTTAAGACCCTCTGGGCATCGGTCCTGCAGCTGGTTTGAGTCCTGCAGCTGGTGCCAGCACCCGAGCCTCCCCAAGAGAGCAACTTTTGGACTCCACCTTCTGCTCTCCCTTGCCACAGGCAGCCCCAGCTATCCATCTCTTTGATTTCAGAGCCAAACCAACCACCCTTGTTTGTGCCACCCTCCTCAGCGCCGCCGTCACCAGATGTCCCGTGACGACAGCGCATGCCGCAGCGAGGGGAGGGCAAGCAGGGGACGCCGCCATTACCTGTGCGTGCTCTCCTTGGGCAGGATGAAGGACAGCTCTGCCCCAGCATTGCTCTCCATGGTGGCGTTGGGCACGTACTGGCAGATGAGGCGGGAGATCTCCCCCAGGTTACAGTAGGGCTCCTTCACCATCACCATGTGATATCCCGCCCCTGGGCAGAGCCACAAGAGGAGGGAGAGGAGGGTGAGTGTGAGCCCAGCCTGGCCCCGGGGTGCTGGAGCAGAGAGGGACACTCGGGCACCATGGAGCATCAATGGCTTTGCCTGGGCTACAGGCATGGGACGGGCCTTGGAAGAGGCCAAACAGCACGATGGGGAGCGAGCAGCCATCAGATCCATGGCAGTGCATCCCCTTTCCTGCCCTGTATTCCCCCTCCTGCTCCTCCACGGCAAGGAGAAGACCCCGAGCACAGCCTGCCTGCTCCTCCCTCACCGTATTTGCGCTTGAGGAAGAGCGAGGAGCCGCAGCACTGCAGCTCGCCCTTGGCCATGATGGCGATGCGGTCCCCCAGCAGGTCAGCCTCGTCCATGAAGTGGGTGGTCAGCAGGATGGTGCGGTTGCTCCTCTGCTGCTGCAGGAGGTCCCAGGTGGCCCTGCGAGAGGCTGGGTCCATCCCCGACGTCGGCTCATCCAGCATCACCACCTGCACACAGGAGACGGGCGCTGGTCAAGAAAAGGGGCTGGGAGAGGCAGAGCAGCGCAGGAGAGGACAACCCTGGGCCATGACATCCCAACGTGCACACGATGGTCGTGCTGGGGGAGCAGCTATCAGGCAGTGGAGCTGCACTGCAGCCTCGGGGTGATGTCCTCAGAGTTGTCCCCCTTCAGAGGGGTCCTCCTGCCCCTCCCCGCCGCCCCAACACCTCCCACTGGCTCACCACGGGTGAGGGACAACCCCAGAGCCTGCGTTGGCCCCATGGAGACAGGCTGGAGGCGAGCCCCAGGGAAGATGCTTGCCTTGGAGTCCCCGATGAGGGCGATGCCAATGGAGAGCTTGCGCTTCATGCCGCCGGAGAGCGCCTTGGTCAGGGAGTGGCGCTTGTCCTCCAGGTTGAGGATGCGTAGGATGTGGTTGATCTCCTCGGGGCACTTGGAGAGTGGGTAACCCTTCAGCTGCCAGACCAGAGGAAGGGAGGGTTAAACCTGTCTGCAGGGGCAAGCGTCTCCGGCGAAGACCCTTCCCACCACATTGGCAACCAGCTGCTAAACCGCCACCACGCTCCCTCCTCCACAGCCACGCAGGAACGTGGGGAAGCACGGAGACGGACTGACTCCTGCCCGACCCCGACGGAGCTGGCACAGCCAGCGTGGGGGTCTCCGCAGAGCCATGCTGCCCACGACCCTCTGCTCCTCCATCACCCGAGCACGGAGCTCCTGCCTGCAGATGAGGCCGAAGGAG